GCCACCAGGTCAGGCCAGGCTCATCATCATTACACATTAGAACAGACCAGGTTCACCTTGATCACACACCAGATCATGCCAGGCTCACTATCATCAAACACCAGGTCAGGCCAGGTTCACTATCATCACACCCTAGATCAGACCACGCTCACTATCATAACACGCCAGGTCAAGCCAGGCTCGCCATCATCACACACCAAGTCCAGCCAGGCTCACTATCATCACTCACTAGATCAGAGCACGCTCACTATTATAACACGCCAGGTCAAGCCAGGCTCACCATCATCACACACAAGGTCATACCAGGCTCAAAATGGCCAAGATCACCATCATCACACACCAGGGCAGGCCAAGCTCAACATCATCACACACCAAATAAGGCCAGGCTCACCATCACCACACACCAGGTAAGGCCAGACTCACCATCATCACACACCAGATATGGCTATGCTCACCATCACCACACACCAAATAAGGCCAGACTCACCATCACCACACACCAGATAAGGCTACGCTCACCATTACCACACACCAGATAAGGCTATGTTCACCATTGCCACACCAGTTCAAGGCAGGCTCAACATCATCACACACCAGATATGGCCAGGCTCACCATCACCACACACCAGATAGGGCCAGACTCACCATCATCACACACCAGATAAGGTTACGCTCACCATTACCACACACCAGATAAGGCTAGGATCACCATTGCCACACCAGGTCTGACCAGACTCACCATCACCACACACAAGTTCAAGCCAGGCTCGCCATCATCACACACAAGGTCAGACCAGGCTCAAAATGGCCAAGCTCACCATGATCACATACCAGGGCAGGCCAGGCTCAACATCATCACACATCAGGTCACGCCAGGCTCAACATCATCACACACTAGATAAGGCCAGGCTCACCATCACCACACACCAGGTAAGGCCAGGCTCACCATCATCAAACACCAGGTCAGGCCAGGCTCATCATCATTACACATTAGGTCAGACCAGGTTCACCTTCATCACACACCAGGTCAGGCCAGACTCACCATTATTACACAATAGATCAGACCAGACTCACCTTCATCACACACCAGGTCAGGCAAGGCTCACCTTCATCACACACCAGGTCAGGACAGACTCACCATCATTACACATTAGATCAGACCAGGTTCACCTTCATCACACACCCGATCATGCCAGGCTCACTATCATCAAACACCAGGTCAGGCCAGGCTCACTATCATCACACACTAGTTAAGACCACGCTCACTATCATAACACGCCAGGTCAAGCCAGACTCGCCATCATCACACACCAAGTCCGGCCAGGCTCACCATCATTACACATTAGATCAGACCAGCCTCACATTCATCAAACACCAGGTCAGGCCAGGCTCACCATCATTACAAATTAGATCAGACCAGCTTCACTTCATCACAATAATCTGATCATGCCAGGTTCACTATCATCAAACACCAGGTCAGGCCAGGCTCACTCATCATCACACACTAGATCAGATCACGCTCACTATCATAACACGCCAGGTCAAGCCAGGCACGCCATCATCACACACCAAGTCCGGCCAGGCTCACCACCATTGACACATTAGATCAGACCAGGCTCACCTTCATCACACACCAGGTCAGGCCAGGCTCACCTTTATGATACACCAGGTCAGGACAGGCTCTCCATCATTATGCATAAGATCAGACCAGGCTCACCATCATTACACATTAGATCAGACCATTCTCACCTTCATCAAACACAAGGTCAGGCCAGGCTCACCATTATTACACATTAGATCAGACCAGACTCACCTTCATCATACACCAGGTCAGGCAAGGCTCACCATCATCACCCACCAGGTCAGGCCAGGCTCATCATCATTACACATTAGATCACACCAGGTTCACCTTCATCACACACCAGATCATGCTAGGCTCACTATCATCAACACTGTGTCAGGCCAGGCTCACTATCATCACACACCAGAACAGACCACACTACCTCATAACACGCCAGGTCCGGGCCAGGCTCGGCCATCTTCACACACAAGGTCAGACCAGGCTCAAAATGGCCAAGCAAACCATCATCACACACCAGGTCAGGCCAGGCTCAACACCATCACACACCAGATAAGGCCAGGCTCACCATCACCACACACCAGGTAAGGCCAGACTCACCATCAACACACACCAGATAAGGTTACGCTCACCAATACCACACACCAGATAAGGCTAGGTTCACCATTGCCATACCAGGTCAGACCAGGCTCACCATCACCACACACAAGTTAAGGCCGTTTCTTACCATCGTCGCACACCACGTCAGGCAAAGTTCACTATCATCACACATCAAGTCAGTCCAGGCTCACCATCATCACTCACCAGGTAAGGCGAGGCTCACCATCATCGCACACAAGGTCAGGCCAGGCTCACCGTCATATTCCAGCAAGGCCAGGTTCACCATCACACTCATTAGATCAGACCAGGCTCATTCTTCACACACACCAAGCCAGACCAGGCTCACTATCATCACCCACCAGGTCAGGCCAGGCTCACCATCATGATACTCCAGTCAGGCCAGGTTCACCATCATTACTCATTAGATCAGACCAGGCTCACCTTCATTACACACCAGGCCAGACCAGACTGACCTTCATCACACACCAGATCAGGCCAGGATCACCATCATTACACATTAGATCAGACCAATCTCACCTTCATCACACACCAGGTCAGGCCAGGCTTACCATCATCACCCACCAGGTCAGGCCAGGCTCACCATCATCATCCACCAGGTCAGGCCGGGCTCACCTTCATCACACACCAAGTCCGGCCAGGCTCACCAACATTACACATTAGATCAGACCAGGCTCACCTTCATCAAACACCAGGTCAGGCCAGGCTCACAATCATTACACATTAGATCAGTCCAGGCTCACCTTCATCACACACCAGGTCAGGCCAGGCTCACCATCATTATACATTAGATCAGACCAGGCTTACCTTCATCACACACCAGATCAGGCCTGGCTCACCATCATCACCCACCAGGTCAGGCCAGGCTCATCACACACACACATTAGATCAGACCAGGTTCACCGTCATCACACACTCAGATCATGCCAGGCTCATCTCAGGCCAGGCTCAAATGCATCATCACACACACAGATCAGACCACGCTCACTATCATAACACGCCAGGTCAAGCCAGGTTCGCCATCACCACACACCACAAATCCAGCCAGGCTCACCATCATTACATATTAGATCAGACCAGGCTCACCTTCATCATTCACCAGGTCAGGACAGACTCACCATCATTACACATAAGATCAGTACCCAGGCTCACTTTCATCACACACCAGGTCAGCCCAGGCTCACCATCATCATCCACCAGGTCAGGCCAGGCTCACCATCATCATCCACCAGGTCGCTTAGGCCTGCCATCATCACTCACAAGGTCAGACCAGCCTCAAAATGTCCAAGCTCACCATCATCATACTCCAGATCAGGCCAGGTTCACCATCTTCACACACCAGGTCAACCTAGTTTCATTATCATCACACACCAGGTCAAGCCAGGCTCACCATCATCACACACCAGATATATATGTGTATATATATATATATATATATATATATATATATATATATATATATATATATATATATATATATATATATATATATATATATATATATATATATATATATATATATATATATATATATATATATATATATATATATATATATATATATATATATATATATATACATATATATATATATATATATATATATATATGCAAGTAAATCACTGTAGGTGGTGATGTTTGCTATAAAGTGTGTAATTCACATCTTCAGGGGTGAGTACAGACTAGAGAGAGTAATACAAATCAAGGTGTGTATATACAGAGGAGGGTGAGACCAGGTCCACAATGGTCAGGTATTAGGTAATGACCCTACTAATCTTTAAATAGCACACAATGGTTGGTGGTCAGGTCAGATGGTCAAGTGACCCGGCCTTCTCACCTGATCACAAATCTTCTTAATTACAAAATTGTCCAGTTTGTACATGCCGTTACTCAAATTCATGTTGAATGCTTCGGTATGTTTAATAAGACTAGATTTTATGATGTTCCTACTATCAATTGAATTACATGGTAATATTGAGGAGGCATTATCCCAGTCAATGCAATGCTTGTTATCCCTCAAATGAACAAACAGAGCATTGGATTCCTGGCCTGTCCTAACACTGTATTTGTGTTGTTTAATTCTAGTTGCAAGATTTTACCTGTCTGGCCTAAGTAAAATATATTACATTCCTTGTAAGGAACTTATAAATGCAACCAATTGTGTTGCTGGGGAGTTCTTGATTAACACTTGTTTAACAGTCATTACCTAATACTCTGACCATTGTGGACCCTGGTCTCACCCTCCTCTGTATATATACACCTTGATTTGTACATTTCTCTAGTCTGTACTCACTCTTAGAAGATGTGAATTACACGAAAGCGCTTTGGGGAACTTTCGTGTTTTCTTTCTTTTCCTTGTGGTTATCAGCATATACATATATATATATATAGTGATATATATATATATATATATATATATATATATATATATATATACATATATATATATATATATATATATATATATATATATATATATATATATATATATATATATATATATACATACCTATGAATAACTGTTCATTTATTAACTTTGTTTTGGCAATGTTTACATACATAAATGGTTTTTGTTTATTATCCATAGACACTTTTTTCTATTAAAAATCTGCTGTCTTAGGGCGCTGATCTAAAATATTCATTTGTACTTTTTAATTAATCCATTTATATAGTTATAAAGATAACTTGAAAAGGTGGAAATAAATTATTTTGTTATTAACAAATAGAGCCAACCTTCATAAAAAAAATCCTTCCAAAAGTTATTTGTAATTATTACCTCCATTAACATTCTATTAATCTAAAGGATCAGTGTGATGAGAAGACGCAACCTGGAACGTCAGCACACGAAACCCTATTCCAACGGTGCTTAAATCAAGCTACAATCCTTGTCAAGTAAGTATCTAATGAAGATTATGCTAACCCACTCAGTGTCTTTCAGCATTTCAGCACCTAACACAGTAATCAATCAAAAATCTTAGAGGAGCTTCTGAAACTATACTTTCGGAAAGTAGGATTATAAATTACTACTTGACGTTCACGACAAGAATTAAGATTTTGCAGTTACACCTACCTGTCACAACAAGAATTAAATATATATATATATATATATATATATATATATATATATATATATATATATGCATGCATGTATATGCATGTATGTATGATAGCAGATAGAGCAGAGCAGACAGTGCATGCATGCATGCACACATACATACACACACACACACACACACACACACACACACACATCATCATCATCATCAATATCATATATATATTAGTATAGAGTATATATATATATATATATATGCAAGTAAATCACTGTAGGTGCGCGTGATCTAGGTATATGCTGATAACCACAAGGAAAGAAGAAAACACGAAGTTCCCAAGCGCTTTCGTGTAATTCACATCTTCAGGGGTGAGTACAATCTGTACAATTCAGATGTGGCCACGCTTGACTCTTTTCAATTCGCCAATTGTAAAGCTGGGTGTCCATTCACGGCTAGGGCGACTGTTGGTGCACCAGGCATGGAAAAGCAACCCATAAGATAGAATCACTGTATCCCCTTAAATAGAAGCACTGCATCTAATCCTAGAAGAAAGATCACTGTATCCATCTCCTTAGAAACGATCACTTTATCAATCATTAACAAAGGATAACTGTATCTATAATTGATCTTCCTTTAAGGTGGAAATGATTCTGGGTCGAACGGCTTTTCTAGTCATTATTCTCACTCACTGGTCATGGGTTCAACTATATCCAGTTAGATTCAAACTTATACACTAATTTCCTCTTAACTGTTTGCTGAAGAGGTGGGGTTTAGTCTGTGACCGATTTTAACATTAATATATTTAATATATTCTATATATTATATACAGAAACTGCCGTGACTATGACCCTGCCTATAGTAATCAGTGATATGTCTTTACTGGGTCACGGCTGGTTAAGAACTCTCTAGATTCTCGAGCACAAGCGCCCGAGAAAGGGATGACTCAAGATCACGAGATATGACTAATTCTTGCATGATGTACTCATGTGGATTTCATTATGGAGAGCCTGGGATACCAGTCGGGCGATCTATGACGCAATATCGGTAAACCCCTTACGCAGTATCAATCCCTTGTCTTGTAAAGTCATTTCTGCATGTCACATGTACTTGTACAGCTTCCAAATTAGTCCACTTCTACCATTTATTATTATTACAAGCGTTGAAAAGTCCTTCTTGACACTGATATTACATAAATCCTATGCACCAACATTTAATACAAATAAAAAAAAAATACTGATGCACAAAAACAAAACAAGCAAATATACAACAGGACGATTATCACATCTGAATATTAAGAAAAAACACTATATCTTTGAAACGGTCACTCTTAAAGAAAAGGTGATCGTTACCTTATTTATAGAGAATTTCACGCAATTTGATTTCGGTCCCAACTGTTTTTGACATCAGACCAATCGTTTCCACATTACTAGCGAATAAATGTAATTTGGCGGCCATATTCCGAGATGGCGGACGGAGCTCAGGGTGGATTGGTGGGGACTTGTGATATGTTGTTTCTACAGGTTTAAAGAACATACAAAACAACTTTTAGCTTCCTATAAATTAAAATGTATTTATTTTGCCTAATTTTACTAGACTATTTATGAAGATGCTCCTTATATTGCCATTACTTACAAAACATTTTACCCTTAGAGGAAGACTTTAATCTTCATTGCACTACATTTCAGGACACCTAGGTTACGAGCTATCACACTCACCCTAAACGCAGTCTACATGTTAGCATCCATGGTGTATTACGGACTATCTCTCAGTGGTGGCATTCTGAGTGACGACCCATTTGTGTTTATGACACTGTCGGGGTTGATGGAGGTCCCCAGCTACATGGTCATCATACCTTTAGTGGCTCGCTTTGGTCGACGCTTTCCAGCTGTCTGTAGCTTTCTGCTTAGCGGCGCAGCACTCATTGTACAGGCTGTAATTCCTGCAGGTTAGTGTTCTTATTGGCATTTATTTTTCCACTAGGATACAGGGGCGGCCATACAAATCATCAGGCACTGAATAAATCTAGGCCAGTAGGTACGACTAATATGTCGAAATAAGTGAAAAAATTAATTGGAATGTGAGTAGTATAATGTTTAAAATGAAGAAAGTCTTAAATACTGCAATGCTTACATATTTTTATGTACGGTATTATATATGCAAGAACCTGGAATGAAGGGAAGAGTGGTAAATGAAAAAATAAAAAGACTGCAAGTGTGGCTAAGATGAGTAGGATGGTTGCTTGGAGGAGCATGGCTGTTGTTTGAATACCCTAAGGGGGATAATATATATAGGGCCATTAAAAACAATAAGTGGTTATATTTCGTGAAATCTTTCACTTGCAAATGTGATTTTTACCTTTAACTGTCAAGAAAAGTCATATTTTTAGATTATTTTCAATAGACTTCAATATAGGCGGTTCGTCATTCAGAGTACACCCAGGCGAGATTCAATTGCTTGTCCATACTCAATTCAGCATGTCTGGAGTTGTGATGGCTGGGGCGATTTTTTCCCGTTAGTTTTCTCAATCACAAATTTTGGTGAACAAAAGAATGTTATTAATGTACAGAACCACCGGTACCGTTTGCAACCCTAGTGCCACAAGGCTAGGGAAAACTCAGTCTTTTTTTACTTCAAAAGAAAGAATCATTTTGGTAGATGATTATTCATGAAATATAATCACCAATATCTGAAGATTTTCTTTGACGACCCTGCATATTTATATTGTTATTTCTATTACTACAGCACGGTACATAAGATTATAGCCAAAAGAAGGAAACGTGGTAGGCACTGCACTCGGCTGCTTGCAGTTTCCCGACTATGTAAATCAGGTACCCATGCTCTACAGGAGTAGAGCGTTGTATCCATTCGGCCACTTTCCTCTTTCCCTTTCAAAAATAATGTTGCTTCGTTCATACTCAATTAAATTTCATATAAGAATGGCTGCTGTCGAAACCTCTCCTATATTCACTTATAATATAATGAGGCCCCTGGGCCAATAAAACTCAAGGAAAAAATTCTTTGGATAAAAATAAGAATGTGTATTGGCATTCTTTCATGGTTATCCATAGTGTCTAGGTTCAAAAAATAAAAAAAAGCTGTACTCACAACTCTACTCACACAATTAAAAACAAGGGGGCACTGGTGGGAGAGGCGGTACCGTTCTTACCTCGCAAGCAAGATGTCACTGGTTCGATTCCTGGGCCCGTGGAAGTTGTTTGGACATACTTCCCAGCCCCCATTAGTGCCTGTTCACCTAGCAGTAAAGTAGGTACCTGTTGTAAGTCGAAAGTTGCGAATTCGTATTCAGGGAAAGTTGTTGGAGCTTCCAATAACTTGATGACATACACCATTGACTCTACAGGCTTCTATACCCTTGACTCTTCAGCTTCTACGCCCTTAACTCATGAGACATAAGGCAAGCATGAACTTAGCATGCTTCCCTGTTGGGCGCTGTAAACGCTTCTGCGCTTCACCTTACACAAGGATGAAGGGGGGTGCCCAATAAAAAAAATAAATAAATAAAAACAAAGGCATTATTTTTGTGGTTATGTAAATGACAAGCAAGACATAAATATGTAAGCCAGATCCAGAAACTATGCCAAGTTGAAGTGCACAAGGGCCACAAAGCAGTTTTCTTATGCGGACATAATCGAAGCCCAGTCAAACCCTAAAGCCTAAGGCTTTCTATCATTTCAAAATTGAAATTAAGTACCTGTGTGAGTATATCAAATGATACGACCCTAGGGTAGATCGTTACATAAACGCAAATCACGTTAGTCTTTCAAATATATCAGTATATTTATTATATTATTAATCCCCAGTTCCCCCAAAAAAGGCCAAGTTAACAAGTCAAAACTTAAACAAGTCATTAAATATATTAACATTTGATAACCTATTCCCACCACCACATACTGTATGTACACAAATTAAAATAAATAACAATAATAATATGATGTTTGGAAGTGGCTCAGTAAGGACTGAAGGTCCATCCAGATTACACAAAAGCAATATCAAGCATTATAAAATCTCAATAGTCAAATACCAACTCCCAAAACACCAGAGAGAGAGGGTATACTCAACTAAGACAGCTGTGGGAGACTGACTACAAGTCTACAATGGACCAGCCTGCAACAGACGCCACCTCTCTTCCGCCATATTACCGACGTATCGTAGCCGGATTGGCCAATACGTAAACTTTACCTAAATGACACTACTGACATTAGTTCCACTATCTTACCGGTATACAAATAAACTACTATCAATATCACATGACAGACAACTGTTGCATTAATAAATACACAAAGTGATAATGTAGTAAAACAAAATTAATACGCAAACAAGGGCTTAGTCGGTGTGGGCGAGTAATGAGCGAAGCTGCCTGAGCCACCCACAAACACCATCCGAACCAACGTATTTTATACCCAGAACAGAAACTTATGGCGGACACTCCTAACATTATATCAGAACTGAGACTTGAAGCGGAGTCACACAAAGATAAATTGGAGTTGTTAAATTAATTATTTTATTTTGTTTACAAAAGAGGATGCAAACAACTTATTAGTTTTTGAGGAAAGCAGGTTCGACAAAGCACTTAACGCACATTGAGCTCTCAGAAATGTACATTGTATCTAAATTGCCGAAATTCAAAATTCTTAAGAGTCTGACCCTAATTGTATGCATCCTAGATTGTTAAGGCAGCTAGAAAATGGTTTGTGGGAGTCTGTTATAAAAAATGGGGCGATCCCCACTACATAAACAACCAAAGACTGTTAAGTTTGACTAGATAAGTGTGTAGCGTCATGCCATAATTGAACAACTAGAACGGAACAACCTCGTAAATGAATGCTAGTGCGGTTTTATGCTAGGACGATCCTGCCTAACGCAATTGTTTAAGTTGTTGGATGCGTGGACTAATAAGATCTAGGAGTGTGGCGGCAATGGAGACAATCTACATTTGATAGCATACCTCACGAAAGGCTGAAAATTGACGGAAAGGGTATGGAATTTGGGGGAATATCCTAACGTGGATTGGAGACTTTATGGTCACAAGCAATTCATGGTGATTAATGGCACGAAAACGTGTGTACCCGTGACATGTTGGTTGCCACGGCATTATTGCGCTGGGATCGTTGTTGTTTGTTTGTTTGTTTGCTTATTGATTGTTGATTAAAAAATTATATTCTAGATGCTATTCATGCTTCCATACAATTATTTGCAGACAACGCTGAGTTATTCAGGGAAATTAACACCCGAAAAGAGTGTTGGCAGTACTGGGCTTGCACGGGCTCTAGAATATATCAGACATGTGCCAGTGTTGGTAAAGTAATTTTTTTTTTAGTGCGCTCACACTCGGTAGCGTCACACCATTCTCTGACGGGTTATTCCAAGACTTCACAATTTCTTGCACCAAAGAAATTACTCAGGGCTCGGAATATATACTTGTTAATGAAAAAGAATAAGTACCATATGAAATAATCACTGTTTTTTCCTATCAATACATTAAAATAACTATAATATCACATCGCAGAAAAAATCGGTAAAACCCAAACCATTTAGAATCTGGAACCATACCGCAAAGGGGTGCTGCATCTTCGATTTGAGAGTTGAAGAATATCAACAGGATCTAAAAAAAAAGTTCTTGCTTTTATCCTGCCCGATGTATTCACAAAATTGGTCATTTATGAGCTCATCATTATTTCAGTAACTTTAGTGTAAGCAGAACAAGTGCCTACTCTGTGTTATATTGTATAAAACATTATATGTAAGTTATTGCTAGGATATATGAATTATAAAATCTGGTCAACGCAACTATAATCTCGGGTATTTTTTGGTTACAGCTTTTAATGCTCTATTCAATAGTGATAAGCATTTCTAAGGGAAATGTTCGCTTTCATTAATTAACTAGAGTTAGGCTTGGGATTATAGCATCATTTAATTAAGTTATCTGCACGATATTAACATAAATTATTTTTATTTTAAAGGCATAATAAAACACTTCTCTCCTGAGGTCGACAGTAACCTTCCAGAATAGGCCAAGAATTGTTAAAATTTATCTGAACTTTTAACTTATTGAAATGAAATTTCTGAATATTAATTTCAGCTAAAATATATATAAATTAAAAGTAAATTTATTATTCATTTATAAAAAATAATATCCACATTTTAAAAACATATTTACCTATCGTTTCTTAGTTGGGCCTGGCAGTTAACAAACTGGCAATTCTTTTAAATGTACTAAGAAGAGTCATTTTCTTAGACACTTCTTTGGACGGGGATTAAGACTAGTTGGAGCAGTCAGGGAGTATATTTAATAACAGGTCACAACACGTACGTAGTTCGGTTTGAGTATAAAGTCTGCGTCGTTTACAGAACCTACTGTATGTATTAAGACCGAATGTTATGAGGTCTAAATGTTAATTCTATACCCGAAGGCACACAGTATTTTTGTAATGATAATATAATATTGTATGAGTGAGTGTCCGGTCCAACCACGACTCAAACCCTTCACTTACCTCTCATCATAAGAGGGTTGCGCCTCCCAGCCACAGTTCACCACCTGTGTGCCACACACCAAGGATAACCAAACTAACTTATACATTATTTCGCGCATTGTGAAACAGGGTGTTATACTTTGTGACTTCACATCAGTGTCAGTAAGCTATGACCATGTGTAAAGTGGTATTTGTGGGTGTAGTGTAGTAATCAATCTGACAGCTTCTGGCATCCAGAGTGCCCTGGTGCCCGCGAAGCCTACTCCCGGACCCGGCCATGTGGCTCCCAGCCTCACCCTCCCTCCCTCCTCTCGCTCCGGTGATGGTTGGAGCTTATCACACGTGTTAATGACTTTATGTGGTGTCTCACGTGACTACGGTGGTTATACTGAGCTGGTGGGAACAGGAATTTAACAAGTGAGTTGGTGAATATTGGGCGTAACTCCTATCAGTG